TACTGCTTGGTAATAGTAAGATAGTAGTTGGGTTTAGTTAGGGATGTAGAATAAGATCATACTTTATCGCTACTAATATACTATTAATATCTTAATAACAGGCAGGTAATAGGCCAGTATAGTAAATAGCATGAATTGTGACCTAAACAAAAGTGTTACCAACATTTAAATAATTTAAACGATCTTTTTTTGCACAAAAAAATTACTTTTGAACAATGGAAAATTCCAGGAATCTTAAAGATTTCCAATGCAACCATAGATGCCAATCAAAAACCCCTTATATTCCATATTAAAGAGATGAGTTACGAATCTCCTCATGTTCAACAGACTTCCCCAGCATGTAACAGTCTGATGTTTAGACAGACAACATGACTGCATTAGAGCGTTAGCAAGTGTTTTCTTAATTTTCTTCAAAGCCAAACACGCAGGGCTTTAATTAAAGGGTGGGTACGGGGGGTGTTAATGGGCTTTTCGCTTCAGACAAAACAGCCCCTCCATTCCCCACAATACACCACATTACACTGTGGACGGAATGTCCGCTCAGACAGTATAACAGCAAGAAAAAAACCCGCACATGCACGTTAACATGGAGACTTCTCTACATAACTGACAGCCCCATTGCCCTGCCATTGAGACTGCGGTTTGAAGGTGGGAGGAAAAGGCTTCTGTAAAGTCCAGAACATTCTCCGTGTTTCCTTAGAGAAATAAAAAGATGTTGTTGTAGCCCACGCCGTCTGGCCTCTGACTGGAGGACGAAGCGCTAACTGAGGAGCAGTCTGGTGCAACGCCATTTCACATCCACCTAATTCATTAATGCAATTGAGAACGGGTGTAGGGTTTCATAATAGGTAGAGAGAGAGAGCACATCTCGGCCCTTTTCCTGAAACACAAGCTTCTCTTCTGCACATGTGAAATGAACAATCTAGAAGTGCACAGATGAAGAACGCAGAGTGCAATAACAGGAAACAAGGAGAAAGAGAGAAAGAAAGAGGGGGTAAATGAGTGTTTTCTGCTTTAAAAAAGTCTATCAACCATGCAAACTTTCTTATAATCTCTAATCTGACATTTACATTGCCTTTTTTATGTGTTGTGTAGTGTGTGTGTCACATCAGATGTAAGTTTGTGTGTGTACCTGGTATTCTTCATGTTATGGGGAACAAATGTCCCCAGAAGTATAGGAAAACCAGTATGTTTTGATCTTGTAGGGACATTTTTTGGACCTCATGAGGCTCATAAATCACATGAATGAAGTCTTTTGAAAATGTAATGTTAGGGGGACAAAATATACAATCTGTACAGTATAACCATATCCATACACTCTGACATGCACACACATACACTACTGCCAATTTAGCTTATTCAATTCACCTATACCGCACGTCTTTAGACTATGGAGGAGGAAACCAATGCATACACAGGGAGAACATGCAAACTCCACACAGAAATGCCAACTGACTCAGCCAGGACTGGAACCAGCAACCTTCTTGCTGTAAGGTGACAGTGTAACCACTGAGCCACCGTGTCGCCCAAAACATATTCTTCTTGGGTTAATTAAATTATAGTAATAATAATAGATATAATAATAATAAAACAACTTGTATTATTTGTTTTGTTGATGTTTTGTGTATTGTGTGTAATGGAAAAAAACTGATTGAGCACAATGCATTGTATTAACTTAAATGGAAAAGAAAACGTTGCCAAATCAGTGGTGGAAAGAGTACTGAAATAAAAGTACCATTACTTGCCCAAAAATGTAGTGCAAGTAGAGTAAAACTATCTGTTGTAAATATTACTCGAAATATGAGTAATAAATAGCCCTATTAAAATTACTCAAGAGTAGTGAGTATTACGCTGTAAAAGGTTGATTTGTGCAGGGATGTGAAAATGTAACATTCTCTAGTGCATTTAGTGATTGTTTGGCCATTTCATACAGTAAACATCCATCATCTTCTCATCAGTGAAATCTCTGCGTTATTGTGTGTGAAGATGTTGTTAATCTTCTTGGACACTTTTAATACTTTCAAATGGTTTGCTGCATTTCTAAAGTGCACATATGTTTAGCAGTCGGTATCAAGCAATTTACTTTTTACATGTCATTTGATTGAACAGGAATCTCTGGACTGATTTTTTTACTTAACCAATGCCCATAGAGCAGAAAAGAGTGACTGCAGTTTGAAGGAAAGTGGCAGTGTTGCCAACTATTTCCAATGAAAAGTAGCTAAAGCCTGCCCGAAAAGGAGCTAAATGTTGCCAGATGTCACACATTAGTTTGCATATCAGTGATGTCATCATGTAGTATCTGACAAGTGTAAGCCTGTCATGTCTCTACTCTCCAAGGAACCATGTATTAGATTATATTAAAATATTACATCCAGACGCATAATAAATAGGTTCTTATTTACATATTACTTTGTGTGATGATGTCATTGCGTAATTGCAACTCAAATCAACATCTTTATGTAGTACAAAATAGTCCATGTTTTCTCAAATTGACTGGCCATATCAGCAAAAACATTATTTGAAATATTTCCATTTAGATTGGCATGAAAAATAGAGTTGACTATTTGTAAAAGTAATATAAACACTTTTTGTTAAGAATTTTTTATTTTTAAATGTAACACTGAGTTAGCAATTTACTCTACTGAGTGAAGCCTGCAGCCACTGCTCTTTTGAGTCAATTTTAAAAAATTGCTAAAAGTAGCCAAATGAATGTTAAAAAATAGCTAAATTTGTTGCTAGGTGCTTTTTGGAAAAAAAATAAAGGGTAGCATGAAAACTTGCTAAATCTAGCAACAAAATTGCTAAGTTGGCAACCCTGGAAAGTAGTGGAGTGAAAATACTGATACAGCACTAAAAATGTACTCAAGGGAAAGTAAAAGTGCACATTTAGAAAACTACTTGGTAAATTACAATTTCTGAGAAAAACTACTCAATTACAGTAATTTGAGTATTAGTTACTTTACACCACTGGCCAATATATTGCTAAATATTATATACAAAATGATGAATACCATAAACAATGCATGCTTTAACCTCCTAGGGCTCAGTGGCCACATCCGTGGACAGCACATTTTAGCTCTTAAGTGGCTATTTGAAATACTTTGAATGTTTTGAGTTTTGATCTTAATCATCAACACTGGATTCTTACTTTTATTGATACTGTGTACCTGGAAATGTGAAAGAAAGGACACCATCAGATTTTGGGCACAAACCTTGAACAAACTTAAAGGTTTACTAATTTGAATCAAGGAGACATCAAAAAGCAGAAACTTCTGGTACCAGGCCCCATCATTTATTTATTTATTTATTTTTAATTATATAAAACTTTTAATTCATTTATTTTCTTTCTTTATTAATTCTATCTATTGTTTTTCCCTTTTTTATAATTATCTAAGGTTCCCTGTTTGGACTTCTAATAACTTTTCTTCGTTGTCGTAGACCTCTTTCAGCACGGTTTATAATATCTATTTCTATTTGTCTATTACCATTCTTTTATTTATTTATTTTTAACTGGTTTAATTTTACCCTTACCTGTAACCTTAAATGCATATTTGGTTTATTGCCTTTATTGCCTTTTTTGGTTGTTTTTGGTATGGACATTTGTTTTATATGTATTTATGTGTGTATGTGTATATGTGTATATATATTAGTTTGTTTTTATTTAATTATTTTTATTTGTTTTAGTGTGTCCTTGTCATTACTCTTCAGTTTTTCCTTTTTATTGACAGTATTGTACTTATTGTTGGCACTATTATTAATACTATTATTTAACAACCTGCATATTGGTTATTACATGTATATCTATGCACTTTGCTATACGCTGATTGTCTACGGCATGTTTTTCTGTGTTCGAAAGATACAAAATAAAAGAAAAATTTGATGAAAGAATGTTTTATATCTTTTTACAGACATAGAGTGTCATCCTGCAACGGTTTTGCAGCATATGAAATTTGCCAAACACTAATTTTAACTGTCCAAAATGGGCAAAAGATGTTGTTTTTACTCTCTGATAATCAAAACATGTTAAAAAAAATCTGTTATATATGCATTAAAAACAGTCAGGAAAAAGTATTTTATGAAAGTTCGGACCACAAGTCCACAAATATGGACATCATTTTTCTCCAAAAGTACATCATATCAAAAGATGATACTTAGGTTTTATTCTAATTAGGTTAATAATAGCAATAAGCCCAAATAGCAAAGAGAAATAAACAATGCATGTAAAAAAAAAACATGGGCCTTAAGAGGTTAAAGCAACATTTGGATAATATTACAATTAAGCTAAATGCATTTTGTATATCGATTTAATATAATGACAATATAATTATAAAGGAAACCATTAACTGAGGAAAAAATGCTGCAAATTAGTTTTGATAATAAAATGTGAATATATAAACTTCGAAGAAAAAAACTTAATTGGCATTGCACAAACAGATATAAAATGCATGCCATAAAATAATATTAAAACTCTCTCTGTGGAGTTTGCATGTTCTCCTCGTGTTCATGTGGGTTTCCATCGGGTGCTGTGGTCCCCCCAGGGTCCAAAGACATGCGCTGTAGGTGAATTGAATAAGCTAAATTGGAAGTAGTGTATAAATGTGTGAATGACTGTGTATGGATGTTTCCCAGTACTGGGTTGCAGCTGGAAGGGCATCCGCTGTGTAAAATATATGCTGAATAAGTCCACTGTGGCGACCCCTGATGAATACAGGCACTAAGCATACATGAAATAAAATGTATGCTATTCTCTGAGTTGGAATAAAATACGCACGCATGTGTGTGTGTGTTTGGCTCCAGCTGCGTTGTGCTCTCAGGCAGAACAGCAGAGGGAGGTGTAAAGACTGGAGCAGGTTTTGGCCTTCCAGCACCTCTCACCCTCACACTGCACTTCCTCCTCACTAATTAAGACCCACAGCAGGAGCTACAGAACAGCTGGATGACCTGACTGAGTGTGTGTATGTGTGTGTGTGTGTGTGTAAGCGAAACAGAAATGGTCTCACCTTCGCAGTGCTTGCCATCTCCTTTGTAACCGGTCTTGCAGATGCACTTGAAGGACTTTGGAGTGTTCTGGCAGAGAGCGTCGATGTGACAGTCGTCTGTGGCTTCAGAGCACTCGTCAGCATCTGTGGAGGATAAGAGGCTGATAAATGCTTGTTACACATGCCAGAGCTGAAAAGATTAACAGTGTCACTTAACAGTGTCACTTCAAGATGAGGACGCGCTGAGAGGTTGGCGCTTTAAAAAAGTGATGCTTTTTTTGGATTAATAGATCTAGTGCTTTATTGAAACGAAACATTGGTGAGTCTGTGGAGAACGTTTAGCATTGCACATTGAGTTCTAGTGATGTACTGCATATGTATAAATATTAATAAAATAAATGCATTTATTTTACACAATTACACAAACTCTTATATAGAGCATGTTTTAAAAATGTGTAATAAACCTTACAGGGTTATTTAAAAAGAAAACCACAACTTTAAAAATCTGTATTTAATCAAAGAAACATGATGGAACCTTGGGTAATTTATCAATGTGAAGAGTACTTAAAGTTCATAAATGTTTATAATGACCCCCTCCAGACACCCGAGTGACATCAACCCGAAGGTTGTGGTATTCTTTTTGAATCACCCTGTACTGACATGATAGTATGATGATAGCAGTTGTTACGTATCACATCCGAATGGTGCCCCATCACAGAAGTTCTTCATCCTTAGTGAACCACAATGCAAATAAAAATAAAAGGTAAAACAAATAAACAAATAAATAACATGAAATTTACTCATTCCTTTTCTTTTTGGCTTAGTCCCTTTATTCATCTGGGCTCAACACAGTGGAATGAACCACCAACTTATTCAGCATATGTTTTACACAACGAATGCCCTTCCGGCTGCAACCTATCACTGGGAAACACCCATACACTCCCATTCACACACATACACTAGCCTATCCAATTCACCTAGCGCATGTCTTTTAGCTGTGTGGGGAACAGGAGCATCCGGAGGGAACACACGTCAACACAGGGAGAACATACAAGCTCCACACAGAAATGCCAACTAACCCAGCCGAGGCTCGAACCAGCGAAGTTCTTGCTGTGAGGCAATCATGCTACCCACTGCGCCACCGTTACGCAATTACATGAAATTAAATAAATTAATTATTGAATGAATGAATGAATGAATGAATGAATGAATGAATGAATGAATGAATGCTAAAGAGAACTGTTCTGCGGAGAACTTTCATCATTGCACAGTGTTTTCTTGTTATAGTTGTTGTTGTTGTTTTTAAACTTTAAAATGTTCCTCTCAAAGATCTGTTCTCTAAGGGTTCTTTTGGATCCCATAAAGGCTCATAAATCACATGAATAAAGAACGTGTAAAAAGCATTTAGTAGCAAGGTTAGGGTAGAATATACTATCTGTGTAAACAATAATTACATTTGTGGAACGTTCCAGCAAAGACAACTATAAAAGATTTGTTTTGTTAATGTTTTGTGTATATTGTGTAATTGAAAATATACTGACTCAGCAAAATGCAATGTATTAAATTGTATGGACAAAATACATTACTAGATATTACTAGAACCTTCAACATTGCACAAAGTGTTTTCTTGTTGTAGTAGTAGTTGTTGTTGTTGTTTTTAGATTTTAATATGTTCTTCTCAAAGATCTGTTCTCTAAAGGGTTCTGTTGGACCCCCTGGGAAAAAAGGCTCATAAATAACATGAATGAAGAACATGTAAAAAGGGGTTTAGGGGTAAGGTAAGGGCAGAATATCTTTATGGTATGATAATAATAATGACCTCTGTGGAAAGTTTCTGCAAAGACTGTACAACCGTGTGTTTGGACTGCTGAATAATTTCAAAAATGCATCTTTGAATACATATTCTTCTTGGGTTAATTAAAAAATCTAATGATAATAATAATAAAAATAATAATAGAACTACTTGTATTACTGGTTTTGTTAATGTTTTGTGCATATTGTGTAATGAAAAATACGGATTGAGCAAAATGCATTATATTACATTTATTAGAAAAAAATACATTATATTACTAGAACTGTCAACATTGCACAGAGTGTTTTTTTGTTTTTGTTTTTAGATTTTAAAATGTTCTTCACACTGTGGTTGTTTTAAGTTATGTTCGCTGAAGACACAAATTAGCTGGTATGACTGCAGAAACACCTTTTTATTGCCATCAAAGATTCCATGAAGAACCTTAAACAACTCTCTTTCACTAAAAGGATTCACTAAAGGATTTTTCGGAAAAGAAAAACAAAAATGGTTTCTCTAAAACATCACTGCAATCTTCTGAAACCTTAATTTTTAGGATACAAAATAAAAACAAAAACAAAGAGAGTCATTATTTATAATTTTAGCTCAGTTATATCTGTTAAATGCATATGTTAAAATCAATTACATACATATTTTGTATAAAAGTGTCTGCTAAATTAATAATGTAAACGTCACAAGCAACAGAACATATCTCAGCTGTACCAAAATACAAAGTGAATGAAATAAAAATAGACTTTTATGATTAACAGTGACTTCGTGCCTGTTTGACTGATTCAGGGTGTGGTAAATGTTCTTTGTCGCTGATCTGAGAGCAGTTTGGATCTCACTGCTGGCTTAGACAGGTGAAGCTGAGCAGAACAGGGCAAAAAAAGGACCAAAATCAACTCAGACAAAATAAGTTGTCTCCGGAAAGAAGGCGTTCAGCCTATTAAGCAAGGAAAAACTGTCCAATGAGGTGATGAACTGATGCAAAAGCTGAACTCGCTCATTCATTCTCCATGATGTGAATGAATGAACGAACAAGCAGACTGCTGGCGAGCTCATTTAGGAGAGATTGACTTTTTTGAAGAGGTCAGTGAGGCGGTTTGCTTGGCTATCAATGTGCAGTTTCACCCTTTGCCGCACCAGCAGTGGCCCCTAAAACTTATTGTGTCTTTCCATCAAATAGAGCGATTCTTCAACTTTACGCAAAGCTGAATGCAACTGAACACCTTTAGCGCAGCGGTGCGCGCTTTTTACCCATCATCCAACCGTTTCAATCCGCATAAACAGAGGCACAACACTTCTGTTAGTGCATTTTATAGCTTAACAAGAATAAATTACGTCTATTTTAAAAGATTCAATCAGGAAAAATCCAGAAGTACATAATGCGCATCGCCAAACTCATTCGGGAATGAGTTAATCATTTTGGATTATTTGCAAAATGTTTTAAGAAGCTAAAATGTCACAAAATCTCCCGTCGGGTCGCTGACAATCTGTTTTTATTGTTTGTCTCATTATTGACTTTTCCAGGCATTCATTATGGAGAGACACAATGCGTATTGACGGTAGTGGAGGAGTGAGGGGTCGATAAGCCCCCCGCACCGACCCCATCAGGGCGGCTCATGTTCCTATAGACCCCAAGGAAATCTGAAAAGACACCAGCAAAAGCTCTCCTTGAGGAATATCACGCGTAAATAAAACCAAACCGGCGCGTTCAAATGCGCATTTAATGCACTAATGACAGGGCAAAGTAGGACTAAATTGTTTTTCTAAATGAACGCAGCTGGCTTAATCAGACAGAGTGCATTGCAGTTTCGCTAAAATCACATGCAAAAAAAGAAAGCACTGACTTACAGTCCTTACAGACTTAAATTTCAGGTAATAAAAGTTTAACAAAAAATAATATAAGGTTTGTTAAAATACATTTTTAAAAAGACAGATGAAGACTTACCTGGGACTCCAACATTTCCCATGACATCTAAAGTATTTATGAGGAGGAAAAGCAAACAGACTTCCCAGGAGAAGCAGGCAGGACCCATGGTTAGAGGCTGTGAGTGAATGGGTCTCTCCAGTTGTGCGTTTCTTTGATAAGCAGCCTTTCTGCTGCTGCTGGCAGAGCGAGCACCACAGCTCGAGACTCCGGACGCCGCTGATTGGTTTGCGCACATTTGAGGAGGAGATGGAGGTGGAAGGCAGGGGGGTAGAGAGAGAGAAAGAGAGAGAGAGAGAGAGAGAGAGAGAGAGAGAGAGAGAGAGAGAGAGAGAGAGATAGGGGGGGAAGACTATACAGTGCTGAACATGTATGAGTAGACCCCTTACAAATCTCTATTTTAAATTCATGTTTTTAATAGGAAATATCATATTTGTGCATATGCATTGGATTAGTCAGCACTGAAGCCAAATCTGGAGCTTATCTAACAAAATTACTTAGGACAACGGTTCAAATCAGTACACCCAAATGTATATATTAGGGGAAAATATTAAACAAAAATAATAAAAAAAGCACAGTTTAAGAGAAACAAATAAATATGTATAAAATGTTGTTGAAATTTTGTAGTTTGTAATTTTTTATTCAATATTTTGCATGGATTTAAATAATGTCTCTATTTCTAAAGATATTTGGTGACTAAAATATTATTTTAATACACAAATCGGTTCAATAAATTAGTTTTGTTCAAATGCACCAAAATATATGACCAATATTTACTGAGAAATGAATAAAAAAACATAATTTTTAAAATGGGTGTGGCCTACTTAATTATGTGAGCACTGTAGCTATATCTATATCTGTATTATATTGTTTCATATAAATAAATGTATGTATGTACTGTTAATATGCACGTATACTATATTCATTTCTATTTTATTAGTTATTATTGTTGTTATTATTTTCATCTATATTGTTATAACTATTTTTATATTGACTTTGATTTCCCTCTGCTATACTCTTTGGTAATATGTATGTATGGCATGCCAATAAACTGAATTGAATTGACCTGAGAGAAAGAGAATAAATTGGAAATTGTCATAAATGAATTCCAAAACGTTGATTGTTAAATATACTGTTCATTATTGTGTGTGTTTTTTAATCACTATTACTATGTCATTTGTTTTATGATGTATTCAATGTAAACATCACAAATGCTTTCTCAATACATAAGTCACATTTGTCATAAATTAAAGCAGGTTTGAATTGAATTGAGATAGGTTTTATCTAATAATCGGAAATAAAAACAATCAATATCCAGCTTTCCACCACTTTACACACAATAAATACTTACATAAATACTTACATAAATAAATAAATAAATAAATAAATAAATAAATAAATAAATAAATAAATAAATGATAATAAAAGAGAGTAATAAATAAATAAATTGTCAATATTATGACAATGCACAACTTCATACACTCACACTGCATTATCATATAAAGGCCTCATTAAATAGGTTATATAATTATTCCACATTTTTCCTAACCCTTAATTGTTGTTAACTGTAAGTACCGCATCTGCAGCTAAAGTTAAAATAACAGTAAAAACAAATGTTAGGGACAAAAGTGACAAATCCTGATCAGTTTGGATTAATTTAATAATCACTAAGTTATATTATTTTAGTTCAACAATAAAAGATTATTCTGAGTTGGGTCATTAGAAGCAGTGGAGGCTCATCAATATTAACCCATTACTAGAGAGGCTATACTGCCCTCTGTCGGCGAAATGCCGAGGCAACTTTATGAAAGCATGAGCAACTGTTTTAAATCAAAAATGATTCTTTAGCAGCAAATTATAAGTTTTGAAGGATCAGGAGACTGAAAAATTGATGCAGAAAGTGTAGCATTGAATCACAGGAATAAATTACATGTAAAAGAAAACATTTTCATACAAATCCTGAAAGGTTAAATTGAAAATATGTTCCACAATATGATTTTTAAAATCAAATAAAGCCTAGGTAAGTATAAGAAACTTGCAGATACCCTCATTACATTATAGGTTACATTGCAGATGCTTATGAAACTTTAATCACAAGTGGGACACTTGACATGTCTATTGTCTGTCTTCATAATTATTATGCATTTATTTAATTATTATTCCTGATCAAGAGTATTTGATCAGTATTAATATATTAAACAGTATATATATATATATATAGCCCCCCCTGAATTATTAGACCGCTTGTTTATTTTTTCCCTATTTTCTGTTTAACGGAGAGAAGATTTCTTCAGCACATTTCAAAACATATTATTAATTTATTTCTGAAGATGGATTTATTTTATCTTTGTCATAATAACAGTATATAATATTTTACCAGATATTTTTAAGACGCTTCTATAAAGCTTAAAGTGACATTTAAAGGCTTAACTAGGTTAATTAGGTTATCTAGGCAGGTTAGGGTAATTAGGCAAGTTATTGTATAACAGTGGTTTGTTCTGTAGATTATCGAGAAAAAAATATAGCTTAAAGGGGTTATTAATTTTGTCCCTAAAATGGTGTGTAAAAAATTAAAAACTGCTTTTATTCTAGCCAAACTAAAACAAATAAGGCTTTCTACAAAAGAAAAAATATTATTAAACATACTGTGAAAATTTATTTGCTCTGTTAAACATTATTTGGAAAATATTTAAAAAAGAAAAAAAAATTCGAGATATATATATATATATATATATATATATATCTCCCTTTATATACACTTCTATTATTAAAATTTCAAAATATCAATAGTCGATTTGTCCAGATATCAAATATTTCAATTTCATAAATACAACAATCAAATATCTACGGTGTTAGCTATAGACCACAGCCAAAACAACATGGCAATGTCTTTTTAGTGAGTAAAAATATTTTGTACGTGACCCCATATGCACCAAAACACTTGTTTTGACGCATTAGTCAATTTTTGCGGTAGTGTGTTGACAGGCAAACAAACAAACCTTGCCTCTCCAGTCTGAAATACGCGTGACGCTCCATGTATATTTCCTGACATCCATTTTAGACTTTTCTGTGTCTGAAAACAAACGCCAAATATACACTGCTCAACCTTAATAACAAAAAATAAAAGCGCAAAAACTCAAAATGACACGCAAGGCGACGCACAACTTAAAGACCCGCCCATAATTCACGACGTCACATCATTCCAGCCAATCGCTGTTGAGGATCGCCAAGCCATCGCGTGTCATGGCGTCCTCCTTGAAGAGGGTTGGGTTCACAGCTTCATAATAGTGCAATATTTTCCTTTCTTACCATCTTCTAAGCTGCTCAAGCGCGTTTACGATATTACTGCGACGGCAATGGGGACTGTGCACGCACGGGTAAACGTTTTCTAAAAGATTCAGGGTGAAATATACCTGTTATGCTTGTGACCTCTTGTGCTCAGAATTACTGTGCAGGTCTATTGCTGGTTGTCTCTATGTGTGTTACACTGTTAAAGCTATATGAACAGGACGCCTTTGTGCAGCTATTGTTATTATGTATATTCTTGTGTGCAATAAATAAATTCCGCCATGTTTGTTTGTTTTTTAGAGTATGGACTCTTATCCCATGTATGGACGAGATCTGGGCGTTAACACGGATGATATGGAAGTGATGGAGGCGGTGCAAGAAACCAAGCAAGAGGTTTTAGAAAATAAAGATGTAAGTTAACTTAAACGGTTACCGACTAACTTATACAATGGTTTAACACTTGAAAAAAAAACGTGATATTTGAATATGTTCTGTGGTTTTAGTGTGCCACATGAAAATGTTTTGACATGCACTCTAGTTTTGCTATATCCTGTAAATGACATGAAGAACATGGAAATATGTTTTTCATATCCATCTATTCAATCTATGCCATATTGGTGTAACTTTTTAAATACAACTGTGCTTTAATGCATGGCAAAGTACAGAAATTCATGAATATAAATGCAAAATGGGGTTTTCAAACATCGGTAAGTTTTATACAGCTTTTAATAATTTTTTTTGCATGTATTACAATGCATCCTGTTGGATTTTATTTAATTTCTACTAGATTTAAAATAATCATGCATTATTAAAAACGACTGACAGAAGACACCCACTGAAATGTCATACGATGTAACAGATTATATACAAAAACCTAAAAACAATATTCAGATCATGACATATTAAAAGACTTATGTATGGTTCAACCTTGAAAAAATATTTAACCGCGTTATCAATGTTTGATAATATCCTTCATACCACTTGTCAACAATATGTTATCATTTAAAATAACATTTATTTGGAACTTTTACTTTTTTTTTTAAGTACTCTGAATGTCAATGGAAAATTACTTCACCCATATTCTTTTTTCTTTTCACAAAGTCGTTTGTTTTATATGCATATGTATTGTGTACAGTTCAAGTCAAGATTATTAGCCCCCCTGTTTACTTTTTCCCCAATTTCTGTTTACCGGAGAGCAGATTTTTTTCAACACATTTCTAATCAAAATAGTTTTAATAACTCATTTCTAATAACTGATTTATTTTATCTTTGCCATGATAACAGTAAATAATATTTTACTAGATATTTTTCAAGACCCTTCTATACAGCCTAAGGTGACATTTAAAGGCTTTGAAGGTTAAATCTGCAGTCTCAGACTTTGAATTTTCTATTCTCATCTAGGTTGTTGTTCAGCATGTCAACATTGAAGGCTTGGGCAGAACTAAAGAGGATTACTTGGGCTATGAAATCTCTGATGTATTCACCGCCAGGAACCTGGTTGAAGTGAGTGAGCCGTCAAAGCCAGTGTTTATTAGGGCTAGTTATTATCAGCAGTGATTGACCAAAATCATTCAATTCAATCATCAGTGTTTATTTGCAATTTCAACAATTCCCTTAAAAGTTTTTACAGACATATTATACATACCAATGAAATCTTGCTCTGTTAAAACAAAGTGTCTGTATATTCATAAATGAAAACGGCTAATGATTACTGGCTTAGTCGTATTTGCTGTGTTTAAATAGCATGACATGTTTCAGCATTGTATTGGCTCACAGATATCTGCCATTCAGAAATATTCAGATATGTTATAAAAACCTAGCTTTTTCGCAGGTGATGAGAAAATCCCATGAGGCCAGACAGAGGTTGCTCCGTCTAGGCATATTCAGAGACGTGGAGGTGGTGATTGACATTTCAGAAGGTACTGCATGCTTAACATCTTCAT